CTGAGGAATCTCCACACTGATTTCCACATAGTTGCACCAGTCTACACTCTCACCAACAGTGGAGAAGTGTTTCTTTTTCCCCACAGCCCCTCCAGCGTTTGTTCTTGGTTGATTTCTTGGTGATAACCACTCTTTCGGGTGTGAGGTGGAAACTCAGTGTTGTTTTAATTTGCATTTCTTGAATGGCTAATGATGTTGAACATTTTTTCATGTATTTATTTGCCCTTTGTTTTTCTTTATCTGAGGAGTGTGTATTTGTCTCAAATGCCTGTTTTTGGATTCGGTCTTTCAATTTTGGGGACCTGATTTTTAAAAATTCTTTGAATGCTCTAGATAGAAGTCCTTTGTCTGAGGGACAGTTGTCTAAAATTTTTCCTAATTAGTGTGTTTTCTTTTTACTCTGGTGATGATTTCTTTTGATGTGCAAAACCTTTTGAATAAGATGGGCAAAACTTTTCAATAAGATGGGAGCCCAGTCATTGATACCTTAAAGTATTTCCCATGCAGTTTAGTTTTTGTTCATGAACTCTCTGCATATCCCTATGTCTTCATGATTTTTACCTGCTCTCCCTTCCAATACATTTAGTGTTTCTGTTTTAATATTTAGATCTTTGGTCCATTTTGACTTTAGTTTAGTGCATAGTGACAGACATGTGTCTAGTTTTAGTCTTTGGCATGTGGAAAGTCAGTTTTTCCAGCGCCGTCTATTAAGGAGGCTATCTTTCTTCCAGTGAATTTGTTTGCCCCCCTTGTCAAATATAAGGTGGCTGAGTCTGTTTGTAGTTGTGTCTGCATCTTCTAGTCTGTTCCATTGATCCTCAGGTCTGCTTGCCAATTCCATGCTAATTACATCACAGTAACTTTGTAGTATAATTTCAATTCAGGGACTGTGATGCCTCCTGCCTTGCCTTTGTTGCCCAGGATTGCTTTTGCAGTTATGGATCTCTGCTGGTTCCAGGTGAATTTTAGGAATGTTTTCTCTAGATCTGTGAGGTATACTAATCATATTTTGATTGGGATTGCATTGAATCTCTGTAACAATTTTGGGAGTATGGCCTTTTTCACAATGTTCGTTCTTCTTGTCCATGAGCAAGGAAT